TATTATTTACAGTTTATGCACGACAGATGTAATGGACGCAGCTCGTAGTTGCGACACATTTTAGCGAAGCAAACATAATTTGTACTGTATCTTATTGTTCGTATTCTGCCAGCCTAACAGTGATATAATTTGAACGAACTATTGGTAGAAGACGAATCGAAAAGTTTATAATCAGATTATGCTCTAACCTATATATGTGAAACTTGGACCCTAAGCCTGGAAGTTATTTACAAACTACAGACTATGCAGCACAGCGTGGAAATGTGTATATTGGGAATAACAAAAGGTATGAAGATGAATGAATGGATAAAAGGACAAACAAGAATACGCTATATTATTACCTGATTGAAGAAGGTAGAGTGGCAGTTGACAAGGCACTTTGCAAGTAGAACCGATCGTGGTTCCACCAGAAACACATTTGAGCGAATAACCGGTCCGTGGAAAAACCACCAGATCGATGGCAAGATGAATTAGAAAATTTCTTTGGATCAAGATGGACAGAAAGGGCAGAAGATAGAAGTTTATGGCAAACTGTTGGAGGACCAGCAGTGGATCGAAAAAAGCTGGTGATGATTGCAAAATGGTCTTAAGATGTGTAGTAGATATCAGATACTAAGAAGGTTATTTCGATACGTATGTTTGTGCGGTTTATTCAACATTTTGGAACTGATAAATTTTCATTGTCCTACAGTGCTATTACGAATTTGATGAGAAAAATCTTTGGAAGCATGAAATCACTGGCCGAGATGAAACTCTCAAATTCACACTTAACGAATTTGATAATAAAATCTGGTGTCAGTCGATTACTCGTTACAGGGCGATAGACAGCTAGTAGCCTTACAATCAATTTTGAGTATTTGGCGAAATGTGTTGGTCAGAATCTCAGGGCTTTGTGCCCTCCACCGTGAATGTGTAAAATTTAAATATTTATATGTATTTTATATTTTATATACGTATATAAATCACTTTAAAATTGTTCAAGCGTTGCCTTTATGTATGTTGTTCGTCAAGTTCATGTTCAGAATCTATTGGGCACCCTATTTTCAGCTATGTGCTTCAAAGTTCTTGTTCGACGACAGCGAGTACGAA